AAAAAGGGACCACTGTACCCTTTATAAATTTAAAAACCCCAAAATTTTTAATTGTTTTGGAGCATCATTGTAGTGATATATAATGGTCTGTATTAATCATCAGAGTGCCGGGGCACCTGCATTTAATGTTTAAGACATGGCCACATGTTTTTGTTCCACTGTTTGTCCTTTTACTCCTGAAAAATCCTTCCCAACTTCCAACCTATGCAATTTAGGTCCGTCTGTACGTATAACAAGAAAATACACCATAACTTAGAAAAATAGAAAATATATGTGTGTAAATATAGAAATGTACATACTGTTTTTTGTGTTTTTTAAAAATTTCATTAAAAGGCTAAGAGGGTAAAAGACAATACACCTGAACCTCAGCTTATGAACTTAATTTGTTCTGTGACCTTGTTCGTATCCTGATTTGTTCATATGCTGAGTCAGTTTTCCTCATTTAAATTAATTGGAAAACCATTAATCCTTTCCGGTGGAATTCCTGCTCTCAGAGGCAAGAAAAATATACTTCAATACATATTGCTAATATCAACTCTACAGCTTATTTATCTATCATAATTGATCTAATATGACATAATGAGCAATATAAATACCATAGAAACCTGATATATACTCTAGATTGAATAAAATATGTCATTTTTGGGACAAGTGGAAGCGGCCATAACTGCTCCCGCATTGTTGTGGTATTCACTGCCATGTAGTGACGGCCTTTTGAAGCCGTCTATTATTACAGTGGACCCCCGCATAGCGACTTTAATCCGTGCAAGAGGGCTGATTGTTATGCGAAATGTTCGGTATGCGAATGCATTTTCCCCATAAGAAATAAGGGAAAATCAAATTTAATCCTTTGCAAGACACCCAAAAGTATGAAAAAAAATTTTTTCCCAACATGAAATATACATTTTCCTACACACAAAGAGAAGGATACATGCACAATAGTAGAGTAGTACATGCACAATATAATTTGTGCATGTACAGTGGACCCCCGGTTAACGTTTTATCCGTGCAAGAGGGATAATTGTTATGCGAAATAATCGTTATGCGAATAAATTTTTCCCCCATAAGAAATAATGGAAATAAATAATCCGTGCAAGACGCCCAAAAGTATGAAAAAAATTTTTTTTTACCACATGAAATGTTAATTTTAATACACACAAACTAAAAAAGGGCATGCACAATTACATGACACTTACTTTTTGAAGATTGGTGTTTGATTGATGGGATGGGAGGAGGGGAGAGCAAATTATCTTCTTACTGTTTAGAAGGGGAACCCCCTTCCATTACGACTTGAGGTAGCAAGCCCTTTTTCCCCGGGTTACTTCCCTTCTTCTTTTAATGCCACTGGACCAGCTTGAGAGTCACTGGACCTCTGTTCGCACAACAAATCTGTCCATAGAGCTCTGTACCTCCCTTCCCTTTTTACGTTTTTGTCTAAAATGGCCATAACATTGTCATTGAAATAGTCACCAGCACGGCTTGCAACAGCTGTGCCCAGGGTGATTTTCATCTATAAAGGTTTGCAGTCAACCCACTGTGCACACATTTCCTTAATCTTTGAAGTAGGCACAATGGATTACCACAACTGGCATAGGCTTCTCAGGGTTAGCCCCAAAAACCCTTCAAAATCTTTCTTAATTTCCATACTAATTTTTCACCCTTTTTACCACAGGGTTGGCACTAGAAGCTTTCTTGGGGCCCATGGTCACTTATTTTCCAGAAACAGCACCGAAAACACTGTAATAATACGAAATATTCCGAGTGTATGCTTGGATGTTACCGCGGAGGCTGGCTGGTAAACAATGGGACGGGCGGCACATGTGAGGGCACATTGGACGCGCTCGGACGAAAATCGGTGAGCGGGTTTTTAATCGGTATGCGCGGCAAAAAATTTTGCGATAAAAGTAAGCGGTATGCGGAAAAATCGCTATGTGATGCCATCGTTATGCGGGGGTCCACTGTACTACTCTACTAAATGAAGAATAAATGACACTTACCTTTATTGAAGATGCAGCAATGACTGATGAGACACTGTTTTCCTGGGAGTACCCTTTTCCTCCTGAGTACTGTAGGTCCTGTTTGGCATTTTCTTCCAGAACAGGCCTTATCACACTGTGTATGCCACTACGATTCTTAAATCTCTCAAACCAACCTTTGCTGGCTTTAAATTCACCAATATGAGCACTAGTTCCAGGCATTTTTCCCTGTTCACCTGGGTGTTAGTCGACTGGTGTGGGTTGCATCCTGGGAGACAAGATTAAGGACCCCAATGGAAATAAGTTAGACAGTCTTCGATGACACTGACTTTTTTGGGTTATCCTGGGTGGCAAATCCTCTGGGGTTAATTGTTTCTTGGTATTCTCAATAAGCCACACCAACAACAGTGCTACAGCAGCAGCAGCAGCTGACGGTGATACACAGCAACAGACGATGCTACAGCAGCAACAGACGATGCTACAGCAGCAACAGATGATGCTACAGCAGCAGCAGACGATGCTACAGCAGCAACAGATGATGCTACAGCAACAGCAGACGATGCTACAGCAGCAGCAGACGATGCTACAGCAGCAGCAGCTGACAGTGCAGCAGCAGCTGACAGTGCAGCAGCAGCTGATGGTGGTACAGCAGCAGCTGTACCACCAATAGTAGCGATGGTTGATTGGGGTTTATTATACAACCTGGCCAGCTCGGAGACACGCACTCCACTTTCAAAACTTATCAATGATCTTTTCTTCATTTTCTATAGTAATTCTCACCCCTTATTGCTGTAGGGTTGGCACTAGAAGCTTTCTTGGGGCCCATGGTCACTTATTTTCCAGAAAAAATCACCAAAAACACTGTAATAATACGAAATGTTCCGATTGTATGCTTGGATGTTACCGCGGAGGCTGGCTGGTAAACAATGCCACTGGCGGAACATGTGAGCGTGGCTCAGGCCGCACATTGGACGCGTCTCGGACGAAGGGCGGTGAGCGGGTTTTTGGGCGGTATGCGAGGCAAAATTTTTGCGAAAAAAGCGAGCGGTATGCGGATTATACGGTATGCGATGAGTGCGGTATGCCGGGGTCCACTGTATAATTATTATTATAGTACATTATTATTATATTATATGTATTATTATTACATTATTATTATTATTATTTATATTGTAATGAGGAAGCACTTGTGGAGGGGAGGGGATGTCAGTATTGCTACTGAAATAGTATGTATATGCTTGTGTAGGTAGTATATTGTAGATCGTATCATCCAAATATATATTTAGGCTCCCTGCTCAGCTAGGCCCAGTGGCCAGCATGTGTGACATCACGCATTGACTCGTGGGCATCTTTCACTCTGCCTCCGTCTCAGATCCAGCGTAGGCTTCAAGTCGAGACAGGCAAGCTGGGCTAAGTTCCCCTCACGACTCTGCCAATATAAGTGATTGCAACGAACCGACGGATGTTGTGTCTTGAGCCGGCAGCTATTTTGTGACTGCTCCTAGGCCTGCAGCAAGAGAGAAGCTATCTACACATCCCAAGCCAACACCCACCAGCCTGTCTGCATTGTTCCCTGGTTAGTCCTTGTGCCTTTTCTGATTATTTGCATTACTTCCAAGGGGTTGACCCAGGTTTGCAAATTAAGCCAAGACAGTCTGTGGGAGGAGATTAAGCCTAAGCCATCCAGCCTGCCTAAGTACCAGCCTTGCCTGATAAGCCAGCTTCCCAACCTGCTGTGCTCATTGTTACAAGATTTCAAGCCATCCCAGTCGTGTGAAGGGCTTAACCAGCACGCTAACCCAGGTGACTAGCCCCAGTTCTCAAGCAAGCTACGTGAGTTCCAGCCTTCACCATCATTTTGTGCTCCCAGTTCCAAGCCATCCTGAGTGTTCATACCATCCCTGTGGTGTTGTGGTGTAATTTTTTTTAAGCCAGCCAGTTTAAAATGTTTGCATGCCTAGTGTGGGTGCCAGCAAGCCACCTGAGACATGCCAGCCTACACCATGCGGTGACTCAGTGCGCTGCATCCCTCGCCCACACCTGCCACTGCCATTGCCCATGTGTGGCTTCTTCACCCTTTTACCGGGTTCTATCACCATCTTCATGGCTCACGTAGCTTCCTCGTACCTGTGCACCAATGACAAAGCCTAGCTACGTGGGTTCCTCGAGATTAAGCACAGAATTCTTCGAGAATTCGATAAGTGGGAGTGTGTGAGAGCACCGCTGCCAGCGACAATCACTTCCCTCACCTCCTCACCACCTCCACCACCCATGTTGCTCCCAGACTTCAAGCAGGCATTATAGCAATTTTGTAGAGACATTTACGAATGTTTGAGACATTTTCTCCGTCTAGGTTGAGTTCTTAGTGGCATTCAGTGACTTGTGATTACAGACTCAATGTTCATTAGATTCTGTTTGCAATAATTTTTTTTTTCCCAGTGTTCTCTTGTTTAATTTTCATGTCTTATTTTATATATATGTTGTGTTGTGTTCCTTCTTTATATCTGAAGTACTTTTCTTTTTGCTGTTGTGTAATACAATTTTGTGTTAATTCTCTACACTGCTGCAAGCATTATAAACTTGTGTTTACACTTATCATTTATCTCTTGTGGGCAGTATTGAACTTATTGCCCAGTAATTCATTTATTGAAGTACTTCAATAAATTGTTTGCCTTGTGTTCTGCTCCATATTGCAGTGTTGTGCTTCATTCATTTTTTTTTTCCAGTACTCACATCATTACTATTTTTTTTTACTTTTCCCCAGCATTTTCCTTGTATTTTCCTGCTGATTTTGTGTTCATTCACTTCCCATTTTTTCCCCCAGTGTGTTTTGTTCCCATTTTAATGTGTGTTGAACATTCTTTTGTGTTATTTATTGTTACTTTAGCCAGTGTCTAATGTGTTCTACATCCACAGACAATAGTGCTATTATCTTGTGTGCAAGCAAGAGATTTATTTCCAATTTTTGCCAACACAAGACCTTATTGCAAGAAAATTATACTAGTATTGTGCATATTGATGTTTGTGTTCCCGCACTACTGTAAGTGTTAACCTTTCTCTGTTCTGTTTTTTTTTTTTTTGTCCTTTTTTATTGTATTCATATTATTCATATTTCATTGAACAAATTTACACTTAGTGTAATTTTAATTAATTTTTGAAGTAAAGTATTCCTCTTTTGCTCTGTTTGAGTAACTGTTTGCCTAAATTACAATTAGAGTTAAAACTGATCAACCAGTTCATTCTTGATATTTTTTTTATTGTTCTTGTAAACTGTATTTCCTTGTGTGTGCAATTTTTATTGAATTATTGACTCATTCTGCAATGACCCTTGTGCTGTGATTGATTTTTCTTTCATAAATTTTTATAGTGTTACTTTGTGCTGAAATTCCTGATTAGTAGTTGTCAAATGCTATAATGCTAAAGTATATTTCAGTGCAATATTCTGTGATTCTAGTTCTGCATTTGCTTGTGTTCTCAGTGCATAATACTTTAATACCTGTGTGCCAATTATTTTTTTTAGAGAATTGTTTTCCCAGTCTATTTTAATTTTGCACAAGATTTATTGATTCTATTTTATCATTTTTGATTGATTTATCATTTATTATTGAATTTCTTTATTGACTTGAGAGTAAAGATAACTCAACGTGCCATTAATTCAAATTACAGTATGAGTTCCCTTGAATATCAAAGTGTTGCTTTATCTAGTTGAGTGCTTCTGTGAGTTTTCCTTGCTCTGCAGTGTGCCTTGTACATTCAGTTACTTATGCAGAATAGTTAAGCATTTTCTTCCCATTTAAGCCTTATTGTGTTGCATATTCCCTTAAATTTCTTTTACTTTTTAAATTCTCGTGTTCATTCTTTGCAATCATTTCTCAAGTGCCTTTGAGTGATATTTTAAGTGAATTTTGCCAGTCAAAGTAAATATGAATCAGTCCACAGTCCTAATATTCCCTTACGAAACACCAATATGAAAAGCAATATAGACAGGGCTTAATACACAAAGATATTCTTAAACACTATTCATCAGTCCTCACCAAAGTAATAAAGAAAGCCAAACAACTATACTACTCCAGTAGATTCACTGACACAAGAGGAGATATAAAAAAGACCTGGAAAACACTCTCTCAGATTCTAGGGACCCACAAACTGAAAAAAAACAAGAATATTGTCCTAACTAAACCTAATGAAACACCACTGCATCCCACTGACACAGCTAACAAGATAAACGACTTCTTCTCAACCATAGGATCTAATCTCGCCAATAAAATCCCACGTACCAATGCCTATGCCGGAGACTACCTAGATGGGAATTTCCCAAATTCCTTCTATCTTGCACCAACTGAGCCCACGAAAGTCACCGAGATTATAAGGTCACTTAAAAATAACTCAGGGAATCTGTCTCATGTCCCACCATTATTGTACAAGCGAGCGGCCCATGTCCTCTCGCATGCTATCTCATTACTTTTTAACAACTCATTAGAAACTAGCACCTTCCCGAAACTACTCAAGACGGTAAGGGTTACACCAATACATAAAGGTGGTGACCCTACAGATTTAAACAACTATAGGCCAATATCAAACTTACCATTGCTGTCCAAAATCTTTGAGAAACTCGTGCACAGGAGACTATATTCATTTATAACGGCACAAATCATACTCAACCCCTGTCAATTTGGAGTCAGGAAAAATAAAAGCACTAACGATGCAATCATAAAAATGCTAGATCTGCTTTACACAGCATTGGAAAATAAGGAATGTCCACTAGGAATTTTTATTGACCTAAGAAAAGCTTTCGACACAGTAGACCATGGCATCCTACTCCACAAACTTGACCATTATGGTATTAGAGGCCATGCGCTTGCATATTTCAAATCTTACCTTACTAATAGGTATCAGTATGTCACCATTAAAGACACAGCATCAACAACACTGCCACTTGATACTGGAGTTCCACAGGGAAGTGCCCTTGGTCCCCTGCTCTTCCTCATATACATCAATGATCTTCCAAACATATCCCAACACCTGAACCCCATTCTCTTTGCTGACGACACGACTTATGTCATCTCTCACCCTAATCTTGTCACCCTCAGCACCATTGTTAACGAGGAGCTGATCAAAATATTGACTTGGATGACAGCCAATAAGCTTACGCTTAACACTGACAAAACCTACTACATTATGTTTGGTAGCAGAGCAGGAGATGCGCAAATTAACATTAAGATCGACAACACTCTAATTGCCAGACATAATGAGGGCAAATTCCTAGGCCTATACCTCGACAACAACCTGAATTTCAGCACCCATATCCAACACATAACCAAAAAAGTATCCAAAATGGTTGGGATCCTCTCCAAGATACGATACTACGTACCGCAAACTGCCCTTCTCACACTATACCATTCACTTATATATCCATACCTCACCTATGCTATCTGTGCTTGGGGTTCAACTGCAGCAACACACCTAAAGCCAATAATAACCAAACAAAAAGCCGCAGTAAGAATAATCACTAAATCCCATCCCTGGCAACACCCCCCCCCACTCTTCATAGATCTAAACTTACTCCCTGTTCAGTACATCCACACTTACTACTGTGCAATCTACATCTACAGGACCTTAAATTCCAATATTAACCTTGACCTAAAATGCTTTCTTGATAGTTGTGACAGAACCCACAGGCATAACACCAGACACAAACATCTCTATGACATTCCCCGTGTCCGACTAAACCTTTACAAATATTCAATGTATGTCAAAGGCCCTAAAATCTGGAACACCCTACCTGAAAACTCTAGAACTGCAGACACATTCATCACCTTCAAAACTACCATCAGAAAACATCTTATCTCCTTGATACACCCTGTCAACTAATTACATGAATACCACCTGATGGTTCACACTTACACTCACTCACCCATTTGACCATAAACAGAAATATCAATCTCAATCTTAAAATAATGAATCTTAACTAGTCATAAGTTGGCCTGTGATACTCCAATACTGAAACTATGTATAGTGCCAAAACAAAAGCATTCACATTGCTAAACTCACAAACTAGTATTTAGTCACTTAGCCATAATACCAACTTACCTCAATTTTGTAATATTTTAAACTTAAGATTTAATCTAAATCTGCCCGAAATGCCTAGCCATGCTAGGTGTTCTAGTGGTACACTCTGTAATTATTATTTTACTACATGTAAACCACACAATAACCAAATTCTGTAAACTCAGCATTGTAATCCTTATAGAGAATAAACTTTGAATTTGAATTACTGACTGAAAGACAGTATCTAGCTTTTGAGCAATGTGTTTGTTCTCACAGCTTGTATCTGAGATTTGTTACAGTGCTGCGGAATGTGAAGTTCAGATTAAGTTCTTATAGATCTGTGAATTACATATTAATGTATCCGAGCAGTCAGGCACTAGTAATACTGTTGCTCTTGTCTGGAATCCAGCCCCTACAATATTGTGCACGCAGGATAGTGTACAGTTACCTTGGGTTTCAGGGGAACCTCAAACAACCCTGGGTACTGAGACTACTATCCCTGTGATGGCGACTTGTTCAAGTAGTCGTTCCTCCCAGGGGACGCCTTGTGAAGAAAGATTACTTGCAGTGAGTTACGCCATCTCTTGCTGATGTCACAAGCTGTTGCAGAAAGACGTTTCTGTGGCTAGTGTGCTCACTAGTGTTGTTGTTGTCGTCCCTTGTGTTTCAGATGGTGATACATGTACTATCCTAGTTGACAGTAATCCTTGAAATGTAACAAGTTGTTCCCGAGTCTTCTTTCTTATGTTCTTTCTGTGTTGTTAACAATTGTAAGAGCAGTCTCCTTATAGCTGATACCTCTGTCAGTGTTCGACTCCGAGCGAGTACAAGTATTGTAGACCATGTTTATTACTTTTACCCTGTGCTTGCTGCAAGAGATGGGAGATCTGTTCTCCCTTGCTCATATTTCGTGTTATAGTGTTACCCATTTCAACCAAGGAGAGCCCTTTCACTCCACTGAGTTTGTTCATTCCTCCAGTAAGAAAGAACAGATCCCTTGTGGTCTGGTGTGATCTGATTCCTGCTCCAGGAAGATCTTATTCTGACTGTGAAACCACCAGCACCCATCAGTGACTTTATGAGCCAAGAATTACTGTATCGAACAGCCGAGTTGGGTACTCCAAGCAAAAGGGTATACCAATTAGTAATTCCACAGTCACTTGTGAATGTAGCCCTACAGTTAGTTCACGATGCACCAGGTGTTGCACACCCTGGTATGGATCATTCTGTGAAACAAGCCAGAATGAAATATTTTTGGCCACGTATGGCAACTGACATCTCTGAGTAAGTCAAGAGATGTAGTTTATGTATACATGTACAACATAAAGGAAATATTAGTGGTCCTAATCCTATCCAGGTGTATCCCACCATTAGCGAACCATGGGAAAGAGTTGCGCTAGATCTGTTAACTAATTTCCAATGTTCCCTCCAGACCAGCAAACATCTGTGTGTTATGGTAGACCATTTCACCAGATATTGTGAGTTAGTGTCTATTGCAGATAAGACTGCTGAGACTGTAGCTAAAGCATTTAACCCTTTCAGGGTTTGTGCTGTACTAGTACGGCTTGTACGCCAGGGTTGGTGCCGTACTAGTACGCATAAATTTTAGCGCCTTCAAATCTAGCGAGAGAAAGCTGGTAGGCCTACATATGAAAGAATGGGTCTATGTGGTCAGTGTTCACAGTATTAAAAAAATCCTGCAGCACACAGTGCCTAATGAGAAAAAAAAAACTCAGACTGTGTTTTTGCTTTAAAACAGCGAATTTGCAGTGTATTTTCGTATGCTATTCATGGTTGTATTCTAGTTTTCTTGGTCTCATTTTATAGAATGGAAGACATATTACAGAAATTGAGATGATTTTGATTGGTTTCACAATGAGAAGTACCTTGAAATTGAGCTCAAAGTAGCACAAATGTTCGATTTTTGCCAAAGTTTAAAAGTAAACAAATCATGCCATGCGTCCAATACACGTCAACTGGTGAGTCCAATAT